AGTAAGTTCACAGACGATACGAAGGTGGGTCGAGTTGTGGACAGTGCAGAGGGCTGTTCTAGGTTACAAAAGGACATTGATAGGTTGCAGAGCTGGGCTGAGAAGAGGCAGATGGAGTTTAACCCTGAAAAGTGTGAGGTGATTCATTTTGGAAGGACAAACTTGAAAGCAGAATACAGGGTTAACGGAAAGATTCTTGGCAGTGTGGAGGAACAGAGGGATCTTGTGGTTCATGTTCACAGTTCCCTGAAAGCTGCCACCCAGGTGGATAGAGTTGTTAAGAAGGTGTATGGTGTGTTAGCTTTCATTAATAGAGGAATTGAGTCCAAGAGCCGTGAAATCATGCTCCGGTTTGGCCACATTTGGGTATTGTGTCCAGTTCTGGTCGCCTCATTACAGGAAAGATGTGGAAGCATTGGAAAAGGTGCAGCGGAGATTTACCAGGTTGTTGCCTGGAATGGAGGGAAGGTCTTACTAGGAAAGGTTGAGAGAGCGAGGGCTTTTCTCTTTAGAACAACGAAGGATGAGAGGTGACTTGATAGAGGTGTACAAAATGATCAGAGGTATTGATAGAGTACACAGCCAGAGACTTTTTCCTCCGGGGGAGGTAGCTTTTACGAGGGGACATGGTTTTAAAGTGAGTGGAGGTAGATATAGGGGAGATGTCAGAGGTAGGTTCTTTACTCAGAGAGTGGTCGGGACGTGGAATGCATTGCTGGAGAGGGTAGTGGAGTCGGCCTCATTAGGGGCATTTAAGCGGCTATTAGATAGGCATATGGATGATAGTAATATGTAGTGGTGGAGGTTAGATAGACCTTAGGATTAGGGTAAAAGTTTGGCACAGCATCGTAGGCCAAAGGGCCTGTACTGTGCTGTACAGTTCCATGTTCTATGTTCTATGTTCTAAGGTTAAATCCAGTACCAATGTCCTATGCTTAAACAAAGGAGACTGTGATGGGATGATGGAAGAGTCAGCTAAGTTAGAATGGGAGCAAAAACTTTATGGTGTGTCAATTGAGGAACAGTGGAGGACTTTCAAAGCGATTTTTCACAGTGCTCAGCAGAAGTATATGCCAGTGATAAGGAAGAACTGTAGGAAATAAGACAGTCAGCCATGGATGTCTAAGGAAATAAGGGAAAGTATCAGATTGAAAAAAAAACACATACAAAAAAGCAAAGAATAGTGGGAAACTAGTAGACTGGGAAATCTTTAAAGGCCAACAGAACGCCACAAAAAAAGTTATGAAGAAAAGTAAGATAGATTATGAGAGTAAACTAGCTCAGAATATAAAAACAGGCAGCAAAAGTTTCTATAAATATGTAAATCGTAAAAGAGTGGCGAAGGTAAACATTGGTCCTTTAGAGGATGAGAAGGCCAATTTAGTAACTGGGAATGAGGAAATAGCCGAGGCATTAAACAATTATTTTGAGTTGGTCTTCACAGTGGAAGACACAAATAACATGCTGAAAACTGATGGCAATAAGTTTTAGCAGGTGAGGACCATAAACTATTATTATCACTAAGGAGGCAGTGCTGGGCAAGCTAATGGGGCTAAAGGTAGACAAGTCTCCTGGCCCTGATGAAATGTATCCCAGGGTACTAAAAGAGGTGATGGGGGAAATAACAAATGCACTGGTAATTATTTACCAAAATTCACTGGACTCTGGTGTGGTTCCCGCAGATTGGAAAACAGCCAAAGTGATGCTACTGTTTAAAAAAGGAAGTAGACAAAAAGCAGGTAACTATAGGCCAGTTAGCTTAACTTCGGTAGTGGGGAAAATGCTTGAATCTATCATTAAGGAAGAAATAGCAAGGCATCTGGATATAAATTGTCCCATTGGGAACACCCAGCATGGGCTCATGAAGGGTAGGTCATGTTTAACTAATTTGGTGGAATTCTTTGAGGACGTTACTTGCATGGTGGATAATGGGGAACCTGTGGATGTGGTGTATCTGGATTTCCAGAAGGCATTTGACAAGATGCCACACCAAAAATAAAGTTGCACGGTATTACAGGTAATGTATTGGCATGGATAGAGGATCGGTTGACTAGTAGAAAACAAAGAGTAGGGGCAAATGGGTGTTTTTCTGGTTGGCGGTCAGTGGCTAGTGGTGTGCCTCAGGGATCAGTGTTGGGACCGCAATTATTTACAACTTACATAGATGATTTGGAGTTGGGGACTAAGTGTGGTGTGTCAAAATTTGCAGATGACACGAAGATGAGTGATAGAGCAAAGTGTGCAGAAGACACTGAAAGTCTGCAGAGCAGTGTAGATAGTCTAAGTAAGTGGGCAAAGGTCTGGCAGATGGAGTACAATGTTGATAAGTGTGAGGTCATCCATTTTGGTAGGAATAACAGCAAAATGGACTATGTTTTAAATGGTAAAAGATTGCAGAACGCTGCTGTGCAGAGGGACTTGGGTGTCCTTGTGCATGAATCGCTGAAGGTGGGATTGCAGGTGCAGCAGGTAATTAAAAAGGTAAATGGAATTTTGTCTGTCATTGCTCGAGGGATGGTGTTTAAAAACAGGGAGGCTATGCTGCAGCTGTATAGGGTCCTGGTGAGGCCACACCTGGAGCACTGTGTGCACCGGGAGGGTCTGATAATTGTTCAGAGTCCCATTGTAGATTGGCTGAAAGACCTTTAAATGGTGGTCTTTCACCACCGCCCATTAGAAGAACCTAACCCGAGCTTTAGTGTGTCCCTCAGCACATAGTCCTGGACATTGGAATGTGCTAGACTGTAACACTCGGTCAGGATCAGGGCCTTGCTCTGGAAAACCAGAAACTTTCGAACAAAACAAAGAATATCTTCTACTGAGTTGATGGACCTCCAGGCACAGTTGAAGTTTGTCCCGGTGCTTGTCCCGGGGAACACACTGTCTGGCACAGAGTCCTGCATCACAGAGCTGCTCGGAATGAACCTTGACATCAACCACGGCATCTTCCTCCAAACCTTCTTTGCAAAGGTCCATTCCAGAAGGAGATGTGTGGCAGTCTGCACCACCCACTGAACCCCCAACGCAGCTTCTTTGAGGGTAGTGTGCAGTTGCGCCAAGAGAGTGGGCATACATGAAGGGTCTCACGGGCAGTGCCCTTTCTCACCACCAGCCAAGCGATGGTTTGGAGCTTGTTGGAAAGTTCTGGGGATGGGGCATTCTGCCAGATCACTTTGACAATCCGCTCAGGGAACCACGCAACAGGATCCAGCCTCTCCTTTTCCCTGCAGGGTCTCGAGGACACTGCGTGCTGACCACTTCCTGATGGACTTGTGCTCAAAAGTGTTTTTCTTTGCAAATTTCTCCACGAGGGACAGACGTACAGATAGGTCGAACTATTTGGAGCGTTCCATGGCAACAAGGCCATTTCCAGGATTCATAACATCCTATTGATTGTTTCTTTTAATTTCAGAATCATAGTTTACACATCAAAAATATCTTCACGTGCATACATAGTCACAAAAGAAATTCGGTTCGGTACAGTAGCATACAAAGAAAGAAACAAACCAAATACTTTGATTGCGATACCTTGGTCCGGGACTCCCCCAGAATCAGGAACATCCTCCCTGCTTTTATCATGTTTGGCCCTGTAAGATATTAACATGATCTTGGATAAATGGCTGAAATCTCTTTTGGATGGATGCAAAGGGCTGAAAATTAAACACATAAAAAAACCCAGAACCGCATTAGCTCCAATTGGAACCGCAGGCTAATGGGTATGTAACTTGTTTAATTCTCACTTTAATTATTCAATTTAGATCCGTGACTCTCTAATCCGTGGGAACTGGAAGAGAGATTGAGCAGATTAGGCCTATACTCGATGGAGTTTAGTACCATGGGAGGAAATCTAATTGAGGTGTATAAGATGTTGAAGGGGATTGATGAAATTGATGTAGAGAGGATGGGTCATTTGCTCCCCGCGAATGTGGTGGATGTTGGGACATTGAGTACATTTAAGAAGGAAATAGTCCTGATCCTCGCTCTTATTTTCTTGTGTTCTTATGTTCTACAGCCTACAGAATCTTGAAAAATGATCATCAATACATACATTAAATCTAGGACCACTTCCTTAAGTACTCTAGGATATAGATTATTGGGCCCCAGGGATTTATCTGAGTTTAATCTCATCAGTTTGCCCAACGCTATTTTCTTACTCGTACTGACGTCCTTCACTTTCAGTTTGGAGCAGAGCAGGTCGAGGGGGAACCGTGGTGAGAGTATGAGAAGCATGGCAATGTGGACAGAAAGCAGCTGTTGCCTTCGGTGAAGGGTTAATAAAAAGGGGGTATGATTTTAAAGTGAAAGGTGGGAGGTTTAGAGAGGATTTAACGGAAATCTTTCTATCAAGAGGACTGTGGGGATCTGGAATGCATTGCCTGGGAAGGGAATTGAGGCAGAAACCTCACAAGACATAAAAAAATGTGAGCAAGTACTCAAAATGCCATACTATTCAAGGCTAGGTGTCAAATCCTGGAAAGTGGGACGAGTGTAGACATTGGGTAATTTGTTTTTCTTGCATAGACTCGATGGGCTGATGGGCTTCTTCCACACTGCATTTTACTATAATTTCTTTCTCTCATGGGATTCCCCGTCCCCCAGTCTTATTTGTGTCCTCTTTTGTGAAGACAGAACGAAAATACGCATATAATTGATTTGCCGTCACTATTTCCCATTATAACTTACCCTGTTTTTATAATTGAAAGGGACTTACATTTGTCTTCATTCATCTTTGTTCGCTTCACACACCTTTGGAAGATTTTACAATCGTTTTTTATGTTCTCTGCAAGCTTAGCTCATACTCTGTTTCCCCACGACTTAATCAATCCCCTTGCTCTCCCTTGTTGAAATTTAAACTTCTCCCAATCCTCAGGTCTGCTTTTTTTTTGGCCAATGCGTGTGCATGTTTCTTGGCTCCAGAAGAAAGAATTGTTACAACCTTAAAGCCCCTAGAGGCTTCCTGCAGGTATAAATCCCAGGATCCCACAGTGTCGTGTCTCAATTTTAATTGATTCGGATTCGACACCACAGACCAATTCACAGAGGAAAATACTTTATGTATTCCACAGTATTCCTAAAACAGAGTACGCTATCGTTGCCATCATTGGTGTTCCTGGTAAGTGACAGCAACTGGTTAAGTTTTGCAAATCGGTTGGGGAACTGATTACTTCCTTTACCAAAACAAAATGCAGGAAAATCTCTGCAGCAAAGACAGAAATCAAAGTTATCGTTTCCCGTGATTTCTCTACACAGATGCTGCCAGACCTGCTGAGTATTTCAAACAATTTCTGTTTTAGTTGCTGATTTCTAGTATTCACAGTTCTTTTCGGTTTTTATTCGGTTACTGCTTTTGCTGTGGGGTTGATAGTCGGTGACATACTGATCTATTATTCTGTTATCTTGTTCAGTGATAGCCAGCACGGTCTCACCAAACAACAGGGTTGTTTAGAGATAGCTAGAACTGCAGATGCTGGAGTCAGTGATAATACAGTGTGGAGCTGGAGGAAAACAGGATCATAGGCCAGGCAGCATCAGAGGAACGGGAAATTTGACGTTTCGGGTCAAGACCCTTCTGCAGAACAGGGTTGCTCTTTCACTAGAGAGAGAGAGAGAGGACTGGCAGTGGTTTAACTTAAGGGTCACCAAATCTCAGGTAAGGGGACAGGTTGAGGAGGAGAGTATTTCTTGGTAACTTCAGCCGTTGTAGGGAATTGAATCCACACTTGTTGTGTTCCTCTGCGTCATAAACCAGCCTCTGGGCCGACAGAGATAACCTGAACTCCTTGCGTAGCCTTGCCAGAGAAGTTTATCAGACATCCTAAATAAGTAATAAAAAGAAATATTGTGGAGAAACTCAGCAGGTCTGGCAGCATCTGTGGAGAGGAAAAGCAGAGTTAACGCTTTGAGCCTAGCGACCCTTCTTCAGGATCCTTCCTTGAGTTCTGAACAAGGGACACTGGACTCGAAACGTTAACTCTCTTTTTTCTCTCTGCACCGATACCCTCAGACCTGCTGAGTTTCTCTTACGGTTTCTGTTTTTGTTTCAGATTTCCAGCATCCGCATGTTGTTGCTTCATCCTGAATGTGGGGGAGCTGGTGTTGGACTGGAGTGGACAAGGTCAGAAGTCACATCACACCAGGTTATAGCCCGACAGGTTTATTTGAAATCACAAGCCTTCCGAGTGCTTCCCCTTTGTCCGGCGGAGGGGGCAGCGCTGGGAAAGTTTGCGATTTGAAATAAACCCGTTGGACTACAGTTATTGACAACAAAAAATCTGCAGATGCTGGAATCCAAGGTAGACAAACAGGAGGCTAGAAGAACACGGCAAGACAGACAGCATCTGAAGTGAAGGAGCAGTCAACGTTTCGGGTATTACCCTTCTTCAGGACTGGATATGCGGGTTGGGGGAGCTGCAGATAAAGGTAGGAGGGAGGGACGGAATTCCACCTCTTTATCTGCAGCTCCCCCGTACCCCCATATCGAGTCCAGAAGCAGGGTAATACCCAAAACGTTGACTGCTCATTTCCACCAGATGCTGCCAGGCCTGCTGTGTTCTTCCAGCCTCCTGTTTGTCTGTTGGGCTATAACCTGGTGTGGTGTGACTATTCACCTTATCCTGAGTGGATCACCCTTCACGATAACCTCATTATTTCGTTTGACTTTATTTCCTGAACACCAGCCGTTGAATCTCACACGCTTGGCAAATTCTCCCGTTCTTGGACCCAGGTGTACTTCATACTTTTGAATCCGATTTCATTCCAAAAAACTGCCCGGGGAAAGAAGGATCACAATGCACTGCAAAACTATACCGAGTGTCATTCGTTACATGGAGAGAATTCCATGTATTACACAGATCCTCTGTCACTACAATTTTGCAAAATTAATACACTAACTGGATCACTTGACCCTATGGCCAATCATTGCGGGATTTATTGTTCCAATATCATTGTATTCAGTGTGGGGGTGACTGATTAGGGTGATCACCCCATCCCAGCAATTGTGTAATGAAATGAAGGTATAATCATATATGGTGGCTCATTGGATTAACACGGCTGCCTCACAGCGCCAGTGATCCGAGTTCGATCCTCACCTCGGGTGACTGTCTGCGTGGAGTTTGCATGTTCTCTCACGCGTGGGTTTCCTCTGCGTGCTTCTGCTTCCCGGCTTCCTGCACAGTTCTCTATTTGTCTTGTGGCACCATGTTAAAACGCCTATCCCTGAGCCAAAGGACGCAGGCTTAAGTCCTACCTGCTCTGGAGATAGGTTGTAACGTCTCTGCAAAAGACGCTTCTGGAAGAATAATGAGGGGGAGGGAATAGTTTGATGGTTAGAGTATCAATCTAGAGACCCAGGTAATATTCTTGATGCCCCCATGTTTAAATGCCAACCCACCAAATTGTGGAATCCGAATCCTGTTTCAGCCCAAATAAGGAATTAACAGCCTGAAAATGCCCATTGTCAGGAAAAGCCCATTTACTTCAACAAAGCCAACAAAGAAACTGTGATGTTTACCGGGTCAGTTTTACAACGGACTTCCCACTTACAGCAATGAGGTTGGTTCTTAACTGTCCCGTTAGGAATAAGTAATAAATGCTGACCGACTTAATGACACTCAAATCCCACCAATTAATAAAAAAGTAACCTGCGAGATATGCAGCAGAAATTTATCATCCTGTTTTTGAGGCGGATTATTTAACTTTTTACAACTAAGTATAGTTTTGACGGAACGTTTGTTGTTTGGTTTGCTTTTCTGTCCATGTATTCAGCTATATGTACCCTCACATCAGTGAGATGTTCCTCTGTGCGTAGAAGCAAACATAACCGTTAAATATATTCCAGTTTTAACAACACAATTACGAGGGTTGTAATGCTACCAATCAAATAAACAGGGCACTGCTGTCAACAAAATAATATTTTAACGTGTGTGCTATGATAACACATGCCCAACCATGATTACTGATCAGGTGGCAGAGAATTACATAGAGCTGACAATATGAAGACTTGCATTCAGTACAAATGGGAAGTGATTGTATTTCTGCTTGTGTCAGTCACGTAGAGTATCAATTTCCTCCCTCGTCTACTGTCAAGCTTCCTCTTAAAAGTCATTCGCCTCAACAATTTCATCTGACGCTGGTTCCACACACTCACCATTCTCTGAATATCTCTCCTGATATTTTTCCTTAAACTCACCAGGTGAAGGTAAAGCCACCATAGTCACATGATAGTCACATAGCCACATGATTGTACTGCTTGCTTATCAGAGAACAACAGCTGATCTGTATTTGCCTCAGGCGAGGGGATAGGTTGAGTAGGAGACTCACTTTATGGTAGCCTCAGCCAACACAGGAATTGAAACTCTATTGTTGATGTCAATCTGTACTGCAAGCCAGCTAGTCTGGCAACTTATCTAACTTATCTATCTCTGTCAAACCACTGGCTCTGCTGCCTATCCCATACTCAGAATTCCCGGTTATCAACATCCCTCATAAAGAAATGTTTCTCTTTGTCGATTGGCCTCTCAAAATCCCGCACAATTCCAAAGACCACAATTAGATTACCCGCAGCCCTGTAGTATCAGGGTAAATAGATACTATTCATTAAATAAGTTGAGATATTTTATTTCCCTCTGTAGTGCTTCCATTTCCTTTTGTTTGTTATGAGAGAAACAAAATAACAAAGAAGTCTCTGTATATCTACTCCAAAATCAAACTGTTCATTCTCTTTCTGTAGCAGCGAAACCAAATTCCTTTTGATTGAATCCCTGTCGCCTTGTGTTACAACTTTTCAGCATTTGTAAATTTGTGTCCCTGGAATGCGGTGCCAATTATTTCCTATGTCGTCCTTTGCCTTTTCTCAGTTTAACTTAAATAGAGTTCTTGATGAATTCAATGAATTACGAATGTATAGCTCAGCATTCTCCCTATCTCTCCGTCTTAATTAGCCTCACTAATCGCACTTATTGGTTCATCCTGCCTTTCACATCCTGCAGTAGGTGATCGGTCAATACTTCTGAGGCATGGTTCAGGAAATGGTTTATGTTTCTTTCCATCTCAGTCCAAAATCTGATACATCCAAGCTGCCTTTAAACTTACAACATAGTCATAGAGTCATCGAGCTGTACAATACGAAAGCAGACCACTCGTCCATGCGACCAGTCATCCAAAATTAATCTAGTCCCATTTGGCCCATTTCCCTCTAAACCCTTCCTATTCATGTACCCACCCAGGCGCCTTTTAAATGTTGTAATTGTACCAGCCTCAAGCTCTTCCTCTGGCTGATCTTTCCATACACACACCATCCTCTGCGCGAAAAAAGTTGCCTCACACCTCAAACCTATGCCTTCCAGTGTTGGACTCCTCCGCCTGGGCATAAAACCTTGGCTACTCACCGCATCCATTCCCCAAAATACCCTCCCTAAGTACAGCCGTAATGTTATCCCAAACCAAAAACGCTCCTCTCCCGACTCTCTTGTCCCCCCTTTCTATCCTTCCTAGAGCACCTATACCCTGGAACATTAAGCTGTCAATCCTTCCCTTCCCCGAGCCACGTCCTGTAATTGTTATGATACCCAGTCCCATGTTCTCACCCATGCCCCGACTCTATCTTCCTTGCCCTGAAGTCTTGTCTCGTTCTCTGCTTTGTTCCTGCATGCTTTGACTATTTGATTGCACCACTTCTCAACTGTACCAGACTCAGAGTTAACTCTTTTCTCACTATCTCTTTGGGCCCCCGACCACCCCATAACACCCAATACTGAGCTTAAAGCCTCCCTGTGTAGCTTCAGCAAATCTGCCTGCCAGGATATCGAACCCTTCCAATTCAGTTGCAAAGCGGCTTTCTTATACAGGTCACTTTTACCCCAGAAAAGATTTCAGTAATCCAAAAATCCTTCTCCCCTGCTCCTCAGCCACATGTTCATCTGTTCTATCCTCATATTCCTGCTCTCATTATGCTTACATGCAATAGTCAACATCTCTTTCTCCTGTTGTGTCGGAATGTATGTGTTTGATGTCGTGCTCCGGAAAACTCCCACCGGTAACCTGAATGAACGGCATCACCTTTTCTTCCTGTTGCAACCTCTACATTGCAGGATTCTGAGGCTTATGCTTGGTATCTTTACCCCAGATCCCAATTTTAGGGCCAAAAGGTAGTGAAAGGAAAATAACTACGGCAGAGGCAATAGTTGAAGTGTTGTCGGCAGGTTATCGTGTGTCTGATTGGAAAACGCAGAGCTCGTATTGGAGGAAGCCGATTGAATGCTGTTGCAAATAGACAGAGTCGTTAGATCCCATTTGGAACACTGTGGGCATATCTGGGGACCAGACCTTAGGAAGGATAGATTGGCTTTGGAAGGGCTAAAATGTAGGTTTATAAAAAGTATACCTGGAATCCTGGTTCAGTTATGAGGAGAGATTATACTAATTAGGCCTGTTTCCAATCGAATTTAGAAGATTAAGGCATGACCTGATCAAAATATTCAAGAAATAAATGAGAAGAAAGGGTAGACAAAGGTAAACTTTTTCCACTAGTTGAGTAATTAGAACTTGGGGCAGAGTCCGAGAAATAGGACCAGGCCATCAGAAGGGATGTTCAGATGCACTTCTACATGTAATGGGTGGCAGAAGTTTGGAAATCTGTTCCACAAACGGGAAAGTTCCTAATTTTAAATCTGACATAGATATATATTTGTTAAACAAAAGTTTTATGGGAAATGGGGCAAAGTCAGATATATAGTGTTAGGCCATGGATTAGTCATGATCCCATTAAGGGGCTGAATAGTCCTGTTCCTATATTCCTATGCTCCACACTCTAGGCTACAAATGTCTATATAAGTGTCCCATGAGGATAGATCAACTATGGGCCCCTCCTCCAGGTTTCTCAGCTCTAAGAATTTCTACATCATTTTGACCCAGCTGCAGTAATTTTATTTATTTGATTTTTAATACTCCTGATACCAGTTTATCGTTAAATCAACACTGCCTTCCACTAAATAACATAATAAGTTCGTAATATATTTCCTGGAGTTCAGCTGAATGAAGGGGACCCCTCATAGGACACTGCAAAATTCTGATAGGGCTGTTTGGGGTAAATGCAGGAAGGATGTTCCCAGTGTCCAGCAAGTGGGGATTCAGGGGTCACCGTTTACGAATACAGGGTAAGCCATATAGGACTGAGGTGAGGAGAAATGTCTTCATTCAGAGCCTGTGGAATTCATTACTAGAGAAAGCAGATTTAAAAAATTGCATGATTTCAACAAGAATTTGGATTAGAGACCTTGGTGCTTAAGGGACCAAAAGGTATGGGAGGAAAAGCAGAAACAGAGGACTGAGTTGAATGATCATCCATGATCATGTTGAACGGCTGAGCAGGCTCGAGGGGTCAAACTGACTGCACCATCTCCTAAGTTTTTTGTACTTCTGTGTTTATTTGCCCTCCTGCACACCCCTAAGCCCATGTAACAGGTACTCATCTTTTAACTTCCACTGTTTCTTTAAATCTCTGCATCCTTGGAAGTTTTCCATTCTGGTCAAAACTTATCAAACTGAAGCTCCAACTTGGTCCGTCTGTCTACAGATATTGTCTGGTACATCACTGTTGCTCAATAATGTGGCCAGCGATATTAAACATGCTGACTTCTGTTTTTCTTTGTGCTGGGATTGGGGGGAAAATTCTGAAACACAATCTGTCCACGCTCTGTGGGCCAAAGGATTCTTGGAACTAGTCTTTTTGACATGAAAGGTGTTCCTTCAGGAAAAAAGTTTGGTGGACAGTTTTGATCAATCGTCTGACGGAAAAAGGTCACAGAACGAGGTTAAGCTGTTTCAGATGTAGCTAACTAAACAGGAACCCAGGAACGGGGCAAATCACCAATAGTCAGAGAGTGTACTTCATGGTTGTCAGAAAGTGACTGAGATTCTTCAGCAATCCTTCTTCTCATGTTGCACAAGAGGTTTTGTAATAAACCTGAATTTGTTCCTGAATCTACCTTTGTGTTCTTCTAGCTGCCAATTGTTGTGTGTGTACAGGAGCTCAATGTAAAAACTTGAATCCAGGTTATAACCTAATACCATTTACAGGTGTGAGTTTGGCTTAATCGATTGAATGGTTAGTTTGCAAAACAGTGTGGTGCCAACAGTATGGGTTCAACTCCCTTTACTGGCTGAGATTGCTATGAAGGACTTCTCAATCTCTCCACTAACCTGGGTCCTGGTGGCTCTCATGTTGGATCACCACCAATCATCTCTCTCTAATGAGAGAGTAGTTCTATGGTCTGATAAGACTCTGGTGACTTGAATGCCATTACTATAATAATTATTTTAAGTAGGGAAGCCGACTCATAATAATTATCTGTGTGACCCCTCCCATGGTGACATACTGCTATTCCCTCCGTTTCCTGATAGCATTCATAATTGGAACACACCATATTGAGAAGATTTGAAACTGTGGCTCATATTCCAAAATATCTGAGCACATTCAGTCTATTGTTATGGGTGATAAATTAAATAATTACTTCATTGGTTCAGGAACTGCAATTATTTTGTGACTAATTTCCTTTATTTTATCTCCTGCTTTTGCAGTCAATGTCATGCTGACTATAATCCTGTCTCTTGGAAAATGCGTCTTAGCAACTGCATCACGTGTTACCTAGTTGCTGTGGAAGTGGCGGATCTACTCATTATCCTCGAGATTATATTGAGACCAATTAATGTCGATTATTTCCCATGGTCTTTCTTGGACATAACCCCTGTATGTAGCATTCTCAGTGTCCTCAGTTCTGCAGCGACAGATTGTTCGGTCTGGTTCACTGTCATTTTCTGCTTTGATCGATTTGTGGTAATGTGCTGCCAGAAGATGAAAATTAAATATTGCACTGAGAAAACTGCAGCTTTGATTCTGGCAACGACATCCATTCTACTGTTACTGAAAAATATTCCTTTCTACTTTGTGTATCAACCTGAGGAATTAATCGGCAGTACGCCACGGTACTGTTCTCTAAAGCCTAGGTTTAAAACTGAGCCCAAATGGATGGCATTTTCTCAATTCGATACAATTTTAACCCCATTATCACCATTTGTATTAATCATATTTTTCAACACCCTGACAGCCAGACACATTTTATTGACAAGTCGAGTCCGAAAAGGACTGAGGAGAGTCAACAAGGGCAAGAATCCGAGTGACCCAGAAATGCAGAGCAGGAGGAAGTCTGTGATATTACTCTTCGCCATTTCTGGAAGCTTCATACTTTTGTGACTCGTATATGCCTTACATTCCTTTGGTGTTTCTTTTTATATTTTTGAACAAGTTGGCTACATGCTGCAGAACATCAATTGTTGCACAAACACATTTATTTACATGGCATTTATTTACATAGTCCAGGTTCAGAAAGCAGTTGCATAGCGCTGTGAAATATTCATTCACACCAATCATCCAGTTAATTAACAAGCAGAAAATATGCTTGGAGGCTCTTGTGGTGTCCCTACCTCTGAGATAGGAGGCCCAACATTATTCCAACCTGCTCCATAGGTATGTAGTGACATCTCTAAAGAAAATGTCGAAGCTAAGTAACCTCAGGTAAGACCAACAGTGAGTCTGAGTGATTCTAGTGCACGAGTGTTGTATTTACTATAAACCTACATCAAAGGATCACCATGAACATTGTTGTCCCGATGAGGCAAATGAGCTTGATACCCCAAATGTGAATGGTGGTGATGGGGAATGGACAGCAGGACCAGGAGTGGGACAGCAGAATGTTTGGGAATGAATGGCTTAACTGATTGATTGTTCCAATATCTCCTGCCAGGACAGGAGCAACAGTTTTCTGCGTTCTATGTGAGCCATTTGTAAAACCATTCCTTCAGTGGGATCAGTGACTCAATTGATTAGCAAACTTTAAATGAATAACCTCACCAATCGGTACTCGGCAGATCTGGTTTGGAACACGGAGCACCTGTTCTCTGCCCAGCTCTCCATGGTCGCAAACGGCTCTGCAAGGATGCCTCAAGGAGAATATGCCCAGTTTCCCTCATTCCAGTGTCATACAAATAAATCTCCTTTGAACTCTCTTTAGAGTTTTAATGTCCTTCCTTAAATTAGGTGCCCAGAACTGAACACAATAGCCCAAATGTAATCTGACCAATGGTTTTTAGAGGTGTAGCATCATTGGCTTGTTTTTTTTTAAACTCTATACTCTGGTTTATAAGCCCAAGGATCATATAAGCCTTCTTAAGAACTGTTTCAACTTGCCTTGCCACCTTCAGAGAGTTAGGCACTTGACTCCAGGTGTCCTTCTGTGCCAGTACTCCACTCAAATTTGTACTGTTGAGCCTGCATTGTCTCTCTGTGTTTCTTCTAAGAAAATGTATCACTTTACATTTCTCTGCATTGAAATTCATCTGCCAATGAAACTCAATTTAACTCAATTAAATTTGTCAGATATGCCACACCCTTGACAAAGCAATGTTGACCGTCCAGTATAAACTTACTTCTTTCCATGTGTTTTTTTAAAGCTTATTCTGTATTGTGGTCTCCATAAATTTCCCCAGTCTTGATGTCAAGCTGACAGGTCTGTAGTTTCCTGGGATAACTTTTGCCCTTATCTTTAACAACAGTGTCACATAGGTAATCCTCCAATCCCCAGAGATCAATTTTGTGTTCAGAGAGGCTTGGAAAGTTTCTGTCAATGTCTTTGCAATTTTCTCCCTCGCATATCTCAGTAATCTAAGATGCACCCATCTGGGCCTGTTGACTTGTCCACCTAGAGTGCTTCCAGGCTTTGTATCACCACTTCCTTATCAATCCCAATCCTGGTCAGCAACCACATTTTCAACTGGGATATTATCAACAACTGCCTTAATTCTTGTCTTAGCATTCATCACTGGTCTTTACTAATTCACCATCGGTGGATTTAACTTAAGAGTTCTGGTAAATTTTGTTGATGGGTTCTGCTATTTTTCTTTCGCCTGCAATCTACCTCATAAGCTGGGCATGGATCAAATGACTTGAGCTCGGGGAGACTGTCTGCTTCCTATCTCGATGTTGAAGATGTCCTGTTTACAATCTGATCAGCACCAGCAACACTTTAAGCATAACAGCAAACACAACACCAAAGTTATTACGTTGTATTCATTATTATTGTTATGTATGTTTACCTGTCATTGATTTTGAAAGGTTTGAATTGACCTGTCTTATGACTTGTTGGGAATATTCTCCAGTGCGTTAAGCACAGGCGAATAAAGTGGTTAAGAAGGCACATGGGAACATTACGTTTGGCAGAGAGCTTAAGAGCAGGAATGTTATGCTGGAACTGTACAAAACATTTATTAGGCCACAGATAGAGAATTGAATGCAGTTCTAGAATCCACATGATAGGAGGGATGGATGGCACTGAAGAAGGTGCAGAGGAGATTTACCAGGATGTTACCAGGATGTTACCAGGGCTGGAAAGTTTCAGTTATCAAGGGAGATTAGACAGACTGGGATTGTTTTACTCAGAGAAGAGGAGATTGAAAGGGACACAGTTGAGATGTGTAAAATTATGAGGGGCATAGATAGACAGGAAGAAACCTTTCCTCTTGATCGAAGGGTCAATTATCAAGGGGGCATTGATTTCAGGTAATGGGGGTGGAGGTTTAAGGGGATGTGAAGAAAAATCATTTCACCCAGTGGGTGGTAGAAATCTGGAACTCATTGCCTTTCAGGCGTCAATAGGAAGGATTTGAGTCTGACTACTAACATGGTCCAGTCACAGAATTCCATGAAACTGCTTAAATCTAGTTAAATAGCTGTGGTTCACCTCGTTTTTAGTACATCCACAGTACGTTAGAAAGCAAAGTACAAGAAACCCTTTGAATACTTGTGAAGAAATTGCACTGTTATTACAAATATTGATCGCCTGTGACTGAAAAGTGTACATGGTGATGGTAGTTGGCAACTTCGTGTGTCCCTCTCGCTCTTTGATGCCTCGGATATGTAATGTGTGTGCATGTAGTGTTACACGCAGAATTATAGATGTTCTACACCATATGCCATCTTGCATATTTTGTACCTTGTTGCCATCATTAATCTCCCTGCCCCGATGCATCTGCCTGAGGCAGTATCGGGAAGAGTAACTAATACACAGTTCCTATTTAGGCAAAATCTTGCCATCATAATTTGGAATACTCGTCATGTTATGTGGCACGAATACTATTCGGTATGAGACTGATTTCGAACAGATTCACAAACTGAAGGCTGGTAACCCATGAGGTGATGTGGGCCATCAGCAGCAGAAGAACGGTGCGTTCACACAAACTTCGATTTGTGACTCGGCATATCCCCGACAACTGCATTCTGTTTCGTCAGGTAGCTGTAAGTACATGTCAAGTGGTACATCGAAACCTCCACTTGAAGGTTGGTTACCAGTGACACATGAATCCTCACAATAGAGGTGAACTTATCAGTGAATTACTATTTTGCTGAACAGAGAAAGAGAAAGGGGACTCTCTATCCAGGCCTCTCCTTATTCTGTAAGTTTCAAACAGATTTCCTCATCCTTCTAATCTTAATAAAGCATAGACCCAGAGTTCTCAATGGCTCATCATATGACAAGAACTTCATCCCAGGTATCATTCTTGTAATTGAGTTGGAAAGTAGATAATTGTGGAATGAGGGTAACTCAGGAAGGCATACTGATTAAGAGGGACTGGGACAAGTGTAATCGAGCGGTTGTTCGTCTTTCCTCTCTTTCACTGAACTATCCCTCACTACCCCTCCATTTAGTGACACAGCAATGGCATTTTCCAAGCACCCACACACTTTCGGAAGCACGTTAATGCCGAACGAAATGACGGCCGCAAACTTGAATACCCTAAAAGGCAAGGTACCGCCGATGCTGGAGATCTGAAACCTGGAGAAACACAATAGGTTTTACGGCGTCTGTGTGTTCAGAATAAGACTCTAAATGTTCATTTCGTTTCTCTCTCCATAGATTCTGCCAGATCAACTAAGTTTCTTCAGCACTTTATCATTAATCTCATCCGAAAGACACAATTATCAGTAAAATGTCGCCTTAAAATGGAACATTTGTGTAACCAGCTATAGGAAGATTATTGTCTGAACCATCTCTGCCCGTACAGATAGATGAAGAATGGACCAGTGGTGTGAGCCATTTAATGAAGGAAAGGATGAAGAATAATCATTTGGTTGGGTTTGTCACAGAGATTGTGAGTGCTGTCGAGGAGGAAACACAGTTCAGAGATAAGGAGGGTTGTGTCTACTAGGAAAGTTTACAAAAGCAGGAAGCATTGTCGAGGAGATCACATTGATAGAGAGGGATAGCCCTACTGCCAGGGTTACTGAGACAGTAATTATTATTTGGGTACATCAGGTTACAGAATTAATGGAAATGATGCCAAATTGTTTTCACCCTCATGCAGTTTCTCTCAGGACCTGCAGGACCAGTGTGTCAGATTTCCTTTAAGTACTCAGCCACATGCAAAGTTATTGAATGGACTGGGAGTTCACTCAGCTTCCGTTTTTGTTTCTGCATTCGACTTGAACATGTCCAATACTGTTCAAACTTGTATTCTATCTCAATTATAAGCAAATCAGCTTACACAATAGCTCATCGTAAAGCCCGAGTTTGAACAGCCTGACAATACGTTATTGAGGTGCATATTGGAATTCGATTATCCATTTACACGTAATCAGTAATTTTATTGAATAACGGCCAGTTAAGGAGTACAGTCACATCATAGAGAACTGGGGAGGACCCCTGAGCAAGATGCACTCATATTTGGCATTTAATTATGAAGGGCGAGTCTAAGAAAATTATGAATTTCAACTGCTTGCATTTTTCTGCCTCCAACACTATTTCTCGAAAAAGCAAAATTCATATTTACCTATGGGCTAATTATTGCAAGCAGAATTATAGAAATGAACTTAAGTGCTAAATATATTTCAGCACAACAGCGAGAGTAATTGTAGCTGCATGTGTGTTCATTTGGGTTTATTTCGAAGATGTTGCAATTTCAATATTCCCTGGAGATGCAGCCAAGTACAAATTAAAAGGTCTGCGATTGGAGTGACTTGGAGTTGAAGGCAGAGAAGTTCCTACAGAACGTACAGACAGTGACGTTGAAAGGAAAAATGTTTGAGACATTTCTTAGTGCCATGAAAATATATTATGCAACGCTTGCTTTCATCGGTGTTCCTGGTAAGTGATTGACGTGAAAGTATATGTGAGAAATAGGTTGTTGTTTATGTTTCACCTCGAATGACAAAATTACATACAACGTCCTTTTGATCTGTGATTTATTTCCTGAATTCAAAAATACTTAATTCAAAAGTGTCCTGAATTTTAATTTTTATCACGTTGGAGTGATTGAAGATCAATATTGTTCAGCAGCTCACAAAACGGCCACGTTATTACCGTTCATGGAAATGTCTTGTGCTGGTGAATCTGTCCTGAGGACAAACAGGTTTCTGAAGGAATTTCTTCAAATCAGTACTGATCGAGGGTCAACATCAAGAGCAAAACATCTTGCTGTTTTCACGTTTTTTTCTCTCTTGGGGAAGTCTTTGCTTCTGGATTTATTTTGATTGGGAAATCACACTGACACAGAGTGAAGTTTACGTTTTAAATTATCAGATTGAAAACTGATTATCCTGTGAAGGACTGGTTCTGATCGATGATTCAGTGTTTTTATATTTAGTCTTGACTAAATCTGTACCTATAACTCAGTGAGTTACATCCCTGGGAGGAGAGACTCCTATGTTTTGATTAAGACAAACAATTGGAATTTGATAACAGATATATTTTACCCAGTGCAATGAATACCAACTTTGGTAAACGCAACGCAATGGAATAAATTGAAAGTTTTGCTCAGTTCTTGTGTCAGCTTGGAGCACCAAATCCCTTGGTGTATTCGTCATTGTATAATTGCACATGACGGAGCTAGGAGTAGGACGTGTACTTATTCCCCAGGCTAAAACACTTGTTCCAAGTGACCATGCATTGTTGTGAATATTTATCATACAGTCATAGTTTATACAGCACAGATGAAGCCCTTCGACTCATCTATCTGCAACAAACGAACTTTTCAGAACTTGGCCCACAAGGCCTTAAATGTTATGACATTTCGAGTGCTCATCCAGATACTTGTTGTGAGGTTTCCTGCTTCTCCTGCTCTACCAAGCAGTGCGTTCCAGATCCCCCTACCACCCTCTGGGTGAAAACACGTTTCGTCATATCTTCTCTAAACCTCCTGCCTTTCACTTTAAAATAACACCCGTCATCATTAACGCTTCAGCTAAGGGAATGGCTACCTCCTATTCACCCTGTCCATGCCCCTCCAAACTCATATATCTCTGTCACGACCCTCTCAGCCTTCTCTGCTCCGTAGAAAACAACCTGAGCTTATTCAGCCTCTCGTTATCGCTAAATTGTTGCATCACAGGGAACATGTTGGTGAATCTCCTCTGCACCCCACCTCACCTCTCCCAGTACAATCACGTCCTTCCAGTCCTGTGGGGACCAGAACAGCACACAGTTCTCCAGCTGTGGCCTAACCAAAGTCCTGTGCAGGTCCAACATCAGCTCTCTGTTCTTATTATCTATGCCTTGAATGATAAAGGCAAGCATCCTATGTGCCTCTTTACTACCCTATTAACTGGTCCTACCAAATTCAGGGATTTGTGGGCCACCACCCCAAGACCCTTTTATTACTCTGAGCTTGCTTGTATCACTCTATAGTCCGTCCATTCAATATTCTCTCGTCTTGTTTCTTCATCCAAACTGAATTACCTCACAATTAGCAAGGTTCAATTCCATCTACCACTCATCTTCCCATCTGAATAGCTGGTCCGTACACTCCTGTAACCTAACAGCTTCCCCCTCACGACCAAATATTCGCTAAATATTTGTGTTGTGCTTTAGCTTGACTAGAACTGCATGCTGCTACTCCAGCTGTGGCCTAACAGAAATCCTGGTTTTGCACAGCTTCAGCATGACCTCTCTGTTCTTATAATGCCACAATTGATAAGACATAGCAGAGTGCAAATGAGTGACGATCAATATTCTAAAGCGAAGAAACAGTTGCTCCAATGAATCCACAGTTTAAAGACCCTTGAATCCAGACTGTCTCTATTGCTCTAACGGTGTCATCAATTGCCACTTAGTCTTTTCCCGGTGCCTCATAATAACTCTATAAATCAATGCTCTGTTTTAACTTTGAAAAATATGTTCAGATATTTCACAGAACCAAGGCTGTGCTGATCTGGGCATCATTTCCCCCCATTTCTCGTGATTATTTACGAGATGATGGTTGTCCATCGCTTAGTAAATGCTCTGTTGGTACTTCTTCAGGGCGGTCCTGGATTTTAACCAGTTATGGAGTGGCTTTAATTCCAAGTCAGGGAGATATGTGTTCTGGAGTGTAAATTGGAGACAGCAATATTCTCATGCATTATCTGAGGAGAAACCAAGGAGACTGTACAAGTACATTAAACACGAGGGATCAACTAGAGAGAGAGTAGTGCCCCTTAAAGATCAAAAAGTTCTTTGTGTTGAACCTCAGGAGATGGGAGAGACTTTGAATTAATATTTTGCATCAGTTTTTACTAGGGGGAAAGAAATGGAGCTGGACAGCTCAGGGAAATAAATATTGATGTTTTGAAAACAATTCATATTACAGGAAGTACCGAAGGTCTTATAAAATATAAAGGTGGATAAATTTCGAGGACTTGATCTATTGTATATGAACACTTTGTGGAAGTGTAGAGAGGAAATTGGAGTGCCTTTTGTAGAAATATTTGTATCATCTATAAATTCAAGTGAGGTGCCAAATGACTGGAGTCTGGCCAATGTTGTGCCTTTGTTTTAGAAGGGATGTAAGGGAAGCCTGGGAACTACTGAAATGTGAGTCTGACTTCGATAGTGGGTATGTTGGTGGAGGTGATTCTGAAAGATAGGATTTATATGCATTTGGAGAGGCAATGAATGATTAGGGACAGACAGGATGGTTTTGTGTGAGGGAAATCGTGTCTCAGAAACTTGATTGAGTTTTTTTGGGAAATTAACCAAATAGATTGGTGTGGGCAGATCAGTAGACCTTGTTCATTTGGGCTTTAGTAAAGCCCTTGAGAAGATTCACATGATAGAATAATTAGAAAACTTAGCTCACATGGGACTTAGGGTGAGCTTTCCAAATGGATACAAAATTAGCTTAACTACAGGAGGCAGAGAGTAATGAAGGGTTGTTTTTCAGACTGGAGACCTGTGTTCCATGGTGTTCGGTGTTGGGATTGCTTTAGTTTGTATTATAAAGTAGAGGTTGACCCATATCTGAGGACTAAACCCAAAATACTCACGGAGGAGCACCTCGCCCTATTATTTGTTAAAAAGTAGTGTGAAATGTGGTGTAACCTGCCTTTCAGCAACTTATAGTCATGAAATAAAACAAATCCCTGATACTCACCTTTACACTGAGCAAGTAACATTTTATTTATCTAACTGTAACTGGGAACAAGTTAATTAAATTATTACGAACCGAATAAACCACTTGTAACGACGAATTATTTTTGAATAAAACAAGATTCTAATGCTATGCTATTTCAATAAGTCCTAATGATATAAAATGATTTAAAAAACACAGACTTTAGTGTCTCAAAATTACAGAATGCTCTGTGTCTTCTCTATTGAACGTTCTATCACAATTGCTTTCTCTGTGATTTCTTCTGTCAAGAATCGTAGCTAGGAGTGTTGTGGTACTGTTGTGGATAGATGGTGCTTTCTCTAAGAGCTGAGATCTGTTATCTCTAACAGATGGCAGTTTGCTCTCCTGTCTTTGCCCAGCTGCCCCTTCTTTTACACTTTTGATGACATATCCATTTCTTACAACAGGATTGATCCCATGTTGTCAAAACCATCAGATTTAAATTTAATTGCTTTTGGTATCTAAGTGCCTGATTCAAACTGCTTGGCGAACATCAAAACTTGTTGTATTGATAATAAAACAAAACTGCTGCTTGGTCTGCTAACTGCACGGTTTATGATACAAATGTTTCAAGTCGAGGGCTCTCAGTGCACATGCAAACCCACAAGTTGCTGCCCACAAGCATTTTTTTAAAGTTACTAAGCAGAGAAAAAAACACAAACTTTGAAAGGGACCACGCAATGCTCCCCCCATCCCCACAACAACCCAGCATTTTACAAACACCAGATTCTAACTTCCTGCCTCCCAATCCATAAGTAGTGTGCCTAAGTTCGCAACATTTGCCATTTTGATAAATGATTTAGATGAGAGTACAGAAAACATGGCTGGTAAGTTTGCAAGTGACACCAGAATTGTTGGTGTAGTGGACAGTGTAGGAGGTTACCTAAGATTGCAAAGAGGTTTTGATCAATTGAGTCAATGGGCTGAAGAGTGGCAAATCCTGCTTACTTTGGATAAATGTGAGGTATTACATTTTGGTAAATAAAAAAAGGCACAGCCTTTAAAATTAAAAATATGGCCTTGGTGTTGTACAAAAGAGACACCCAATGATCCAGGTACATGATACTTTGACATTTGCATCACATGCATTGCAAAAGGTGGTTAAGAAGGTATTTAGCATGCTTGTCTTCGTGAATCAAAACGTTGAATTTAGGATTTGAGACATTATGTTGAGTTTGTACTGAACGCTGGTGAGGCCTCTTCTGGAGTACTGCGTCCAGTTCTGGTCACGCTGTTATAGGAAGTTTAGTATAAAGCTGGACAGATTTCAGAAGAGATTTACCAGGATGTTGCCAGGAATGGAGAGTTTGAGTTGTAAGGAGAGGCTGGATAGGCTGACAATATTTCCCCCGGAGCATAAAAGGTTGAGGGATGACCTTATAGAATTTTATAAAATCATTATGATTATAGATAGGGTGAATGGCAGGTGTCTTTTCCTGTGGGTTGCGGGGGGGGGGCAGCGGTTGCGGGTGTAGGTGATTTGAAGACTAGGGGGCAAATTTTTGAGGTGAGAGGAGAAATAATTTAAAAAATACATGAGAGAAAACTTTTCTACATAGAGAGTGGTTCGTGTGTGGAGTGAACTTCCAAAGGAAATGTTAGATGTGGCTACAGTTACAATGTTTAAAAGGCATTTAGATAAGTGCATGAATAAGAAATGTTTGAAGGGATACGGTGCAAGTGCAAGCAGTTGGGTCCAGTTTAGTTTGGGAATATGGTCGACGTGGACTGGTTGGATAGAAGAGTCTATTTCCGTGCTGTATGACTCTCTGACACGATCTGCAACCTTTCATTTGAGACTCTGACTTGGAGGGTGCTATTAAAGAAGTCTTTGTGAATGGCTGCTGGACACTTTGTAAATGGTGCATCCTTCTGCCAATATGAATCGATGGTGGGATTGGTAATGACTATCAAAGGCAATGAATGGGGTGGAAATAAAGTGGTCTATTTGTTAATGCGTAATGTGGAGTGTGCTCTGCAGTATAGGAGCTGTGCAGGTAACTAGTGAATATTCCATCTCACTCCTGACTTCCGCATTGTTGATGATGAACAGGTATAGTGGAGCTAAGGGATTTCCTGTTTTCTCTTTGTTTGAAAATGATTGATTTCTTTTAATCATTTAAGATCAGGAAATAACTGGACATCCGGCCTATCACCTTCCGCAGTTGCGCATTCCCATCACTCACAACAACATGATCAGGACCCCTTGTACTGATTTTTCATCCCACCAGCCTCCGAATTCAAAGGATCATACTCAGCCATTTCAGACAGCTGCGGCAGAATGTCACCACCTTGGCCTGACTCCTCCATCTCTACTTCGTAGGGATGATTCCTTCTGGGACACCATAGACAACCAACACCATCTCCCCTCTCCACGGCACCGTCTGATCTAACCACAGAAGGTGCAACACCTGTCCCTTCACCTCCTCCCTGCTCGCTGTCCAAGAGCCGAAACAATCTTTCCAGGTGGAGCAGCATTTCCCCTGTACCCTCTCCAATCCTGTGCATTGTATTTGCTGCACCCAATGTGGCTTACTCTACGTTGGAGAAACTAAGCACATCTGGGTCCCGCTTTGCAGAAGACCTCCAGTCTGTGTGCCAGCATGATCCTGGCCTTCCTGTAGCCGGTCATATCAACACAACTCCAGGTAGCTTATCATTAAAACACAGAAACAGGAAAGAGGCCATTCAGCCAACCATTGAATGCCCCAATATCCACATCCTGGGGGTTACCATTGACCAGAAACTCAACTGGACCCACCACATAAACACAGCGGCTACAAGAGCAGGTCAGAGGCTGGGAATCATGCTGAAAACTGAAGGAACAACATCTCATCTTCAGACCAGGCACTTTACAGATTTCTTGACTTGAGTTCAATACCTTCAAATTGTGAATCAGCTCCGATTTCTTCCCTTTCTTTTAGCTTTACTTGTTACATTCTCTGTCACTGTGTCCTCTCTCTCCTCCTCTCCCACCAAAGTGGGACTGCCTTCTCTTTCCAGTCTGGCAGTTGGACACACCATTGTTCTGCCAGTCTCACATTCCAATCACTTAACCTGAACTATCGACATCTTTTCTCCACCAGCACTCTACACCCACTACTGCTACAGTCCCCCAACTATAGCATAAATATTTTCACCCACCCTCCATACTTCAGCCCTGATGAAGTAATGTTTATACTTGAAACGTTAGCTTGCTCTCTCTCCATGGATACTGTCTGACTCTCTGTGATCTCCAGAATTTGTTGCTTTGGGATAGAATCCAGCATCTGCAGTAATTTGCTCCTATTGTGAAGTATTTGGATTTGCTGGGTCATGATTTATTCTTACTCTGAGTATTGTCAGTGCGAACACTTTATTTTATTTCTTGTCGGTGATACTCCAAGGTGATCAGGCGAATCTCTGGGACATTGAGTGCTCATTTCCAATGTCTTCCTTGGATGTTATACAGTCATACAGCTATAAACATTCTATTCATACACCCGTCCAGATGCATTTTAAATGCTGTAATTGTACCAGGCTCCAGCAATTCCTCTGCCATTCGTTCCATACACACACCACCATCTGCGTGAAAAACATTTGCCATGGTTGCTTTTTAAAATCTTTTTGCTCTCACTTAAACCTATGCCCTCTAGTTTTGGACTACCCCACTTTAGGAATTAGACATTGACTGTTCACACCATCCATGCCCCTCATAGTTTTGTAAACCCCTATAAGGTCACCTCCTGGGTGCTGGTTTGCATCATGCACTCATTTAACGACTATGGTTTGACATGACAACTGTCTCCGGTGCCTCTGCGAAAATGCATAGACTCATAGAGATCTCCAGCATAGAGAAACAGCACTTCATCCCATTGCATGCACATTTGTTAAAAAAAAACACGCACACATAACTATTCTAATGCCACTTGCCAGCAATTGCTACAGAGCCTTGTTCTGTCTTGGCATCGCAAGTGAATTTAAATACTTCAACATTATGAGGGTTTCTGTCTATCACCCATACAGGCAGTGGGTTCCAGATTCCCACCACCTTTTGGGTGAAGGGAATTTTCCTCACATCTCCACTGAATCTCTTGCTCTTTACATTAAATCGTTGGCTCCTTGTCATTGATCCCACCATCAGAAGGAAAAGTCTTTTCCTTTCTACCTTATTTATGCCCTTCATAATTTTATACATCTCAATAATGTCCCTGCTCAATCTCCTCTGACCTAAGGTAAACAATCTCGGCCTCTCCTATCTCTCTTCAAAATTGAAATTCTTAGCCAAGACAACACCTTGATAAATATCTTCTGCACCTTCTGCAGCACTATCATATCCGTTCTCTGTAGTTACAATCCTTATCAACATTACATTTTAACTCTGTGAGTGGTAGTCCTTTGAGGATGGATGCTTCTTAGATCACAATTTTAAATGATGGAGGTAATCCTGAATGCAGAAATCGACAATATCAATTTCTGCTTTTAATGAAATAAATAGGTATGTTATGTATATAATAATTGTAGTAACGCCGGAACATGGACTATATTTTTGCAAAATGCTGATTAGAACTTTACATAATTTTCTAATTATTTAATAATCTGGTTCTGCAGTATTTTTAGTTATCTTTATTATTGAATCTATTCCATCAGATATGATCTGAGTAGTGCTTTAGTTTTATTTAGGATGTTGGTCAACCAGCTAACTGTATTTTTATCTCGAATCTTAACTGTGATGTGGAGAAAAGCACATTACTCAGCAGAAAACCAGTCATAATCCTGTGTGTGCCTGTGTATGGTTTATTAAAATGGTTTACTCGTCAATGATATACCTACAAAGCAGGTTGAATCAGTCACATCAATTGCTTTTAACGATAGAAACTGGCATGTAAACTTCTCTCAATCATTCATCCATAATTTTGTCCAAGTCCAACATGTCTGCAGGTGCGTGGGTTATAAAATGATCACTGTTAAAGTTGAAGTAAATCTTAAGTTATGATCGGGATTTGGTATTAAAATTTTGCATCCTACTCACTGGAATAAGGAAGTAATTAATTTTACAAATGCTACTTTTCCTTTCTATCTTTCAGTTAATTTAGTGGCAGTTGTGATCCTTTCTCAGGGAAAGTGTGGTCTCTCGAAGTGTACGTCTCATTACCTGGTAGCCATGGCATTGGCAGATCTACTGTTCATTATCATTGAGGTCATTCTGTGGCGGATCAGTTACTATTATTTTCCAGGATCATTTTTGGATATTACTCCAGTATGCAGTATTATTAATGTTCTCAGTCGGGTCGCCACAGACTATTCTGTATGGTTCACTGTCATTTTTTCCTTTGATAGATTTGTGGTCATTTGCTGCCAGAAATTGAAAACAAAATTTTGCACAGAGCATAGTGCCGTGGCAGTTCTAATAACAGCCAGTATTCTGTTCTGTTTAAAGAATGTTCCGAATTACTTCACACTTGAACCTAGATTGGTCATTGAACATGTACCCTGGTTCTGTGATGTAAAACCAGACTATTTTATTCAGCCTGGATGGGTGGCATTTGACTGGTTTGATACAGTCTTAACTCCATTGCTTCCATTTGTTTTAATTCTGTTGCTCAATGCACTTACAGTTAGACACATTTTAGTGGCCAGTCGAGTCCGAAAGGGATTGATGGGTCAGAGCAAGAGAATGAGTCACAGTGACCCAGAGATGGAGAGCAGGAGGAAGTCAATGATTTTACTCTTCACAATATCTGGCAGTTTCATTCTTCTGTGGTTGACTTATGTTGTCGAATTTTTATATTATAATATTATGGGAAAAGATCCCAAAGATTACACAGATTCAGAAAATATTTTTGAAAATGTTGGTGATATGCTTCAGGTTTTGAGCTGCTGCACAAACACGTTTATTTATGGGGCGACACAGTCTAAGTTTAGAGAACAGTTAAGAATGGTGGTGAAAGTTCCAATTACATTAATCAATCAACTGATTCATAAACAAAACTGAAAGCATCGCAGACGTTTCCACGTTATGAATGAGACATGCAGCACTTTCTCAGAGGTAAACTACACTGACCCGCATTAGGCATTGCTCAGTCTGTTTGGTGTGTTGGAATGTTAGAATGTCAGAAGAACTGAGCTCTCTCATGAAGCATTTAGCAAAGAGCAATTTGTTTGTGTGCTCTTGTGTATATGGATGTGTATATTCATATCATTTTATGTGTGTGTCTTTGTGTGTGCGTGTGTATGTGTGTGCGTGTGGGTACGAGAGAGTGTTTGTCTCTACGTTTGACTGTGTGTGTGTGTTTGTATGTGTGAGGGTGTGTATGTGTGTGTGTGTTTGTGTATGTGTGAGGGTATGTGAAAGTGTTTAGATTTTGACAAATGGTCACGTTCGAGGATCAGGCACCTTATACACATCTACAGTAGCAACAGCAGTTGACATCCCTTCCACGAAGAGGTCCATCTCCCTTTTATTCCCATTGAATGATTGGTGCTCTCTCTGAATTTCTAAAGCCAAATAGTGCTGAAGGTGAACACTGTGGCATAAGAACAGTATAAGGGCTTGGCTGGGGACACATATTGATGAATCAGGCACAGGCTGGCAACTGAAAACAACAGCCCTGGCATTTGAGTTAGTGACTACACTGTGAAGCAGGAGGGCCCTGCACTGGCACCCATAGTTTCAAATATTGCCAAAGGTTCGCTTTCCTCAGCTTCTGATCCATTCTATTTCAAACCACCCCCATCATTCGCTCCTAGAAACAAAGTATCTTGAGAACAAGCGCACACCAGACAGATGATAGGTACAGAAGTAAAGATTTTGGCAGTTCACACCTGGTCTGTCAATCTCTAATATCACAGCTAAATTGTGTGCACTCTGATTTTTATACTTTCACCTGCCTATTATAATGTTTGGCTATGAGAAGAATCTGTCTATTACCACCTTGAAAATATTCAATGAGTTTGTCTCCACTACCTTCTGAATCAGAGGCTATCTCTGAGATAAAATATGTCTTCTCATTACTGTCCTAAATGAGTGTATCCATTTTTAACGCAGCTTCCTATAGTTCTGGATTCGCCAAAAATAAATAAATGTCCTTACCGGGTATCCACCTTGTTAAGAGCATTCAAGATCTTCTATACTGTAATCTAAGCACCCCTTGTCCTTTCGAAACCCCATTGAAACCAAAATAAAACTGACCAATCTTTTCCCACAAGGCAAACTGCACATTCCCATAAAACCTCATTTGAATTGTTTCCAATCCTTTTGCAATCTTCTTTACATGAAGCCATCAAAACTGCATGTGGTTTCACCAGTGTGCTGCATGACTGTAGCATAACGTCCTGACATTTTATGTTCAGTTACTCAATCTAAAAAAAAGATAACATTGCATTAACTTCTCAGTCACTTGTTGCCTGTGTATACCAACGTTGTCTATCGTATAATAGAATACCCAGATAAGTCTGCACTCATCGATAGCAAGAACTGCAGATGTTGGAGTCAGAGTTGATACAATGTTGAACTGGAGGAACACAACAGGCCAGGCAGCATTAGAGGAGCAGGAATGTTAATGACCTGAAACGTTGACTTTCCTGGTCCTCTGATGCTGCCTGGCCTTCTGTTTTCCTACAACTCCACACTGTATTAAGTTTGCACTCACTTATTCTGCATTTATTCTGTAATGAAATAATATTTTTTTTTATTCTTCCGATAATCTTCACATTTTCCCAAATTGTACAATATCCGCCAGATAATTTCCATCTCACTTAAACCATCCCTGAAGCTTGTCGTATTTCTTATCCCTGCAAAAGTCCTCTTGAACTATCCTTGAGTTATCTAAAAATTAGATCACTGTGCATTCCCCTTGCTCACTAAATTATTGCCATATAGAGACCAGCAGAGACCCATGAAGGATCTCAATCATCACATACTGCCATATGTGAAAAAAGGCCCATTGAAGAACTCTGTTTTCTGTTGGTCAGACGGTCTTCATTGTATCCAATTATGTTACCAACATTACCATGACCTCTTATCGTGTGCAAAAAAAAAACCTTTCAGTGGAACTTTGTTGAATGCCTCCTAGAAAACATTAACGGACTCCCCTTTATCCATAGACCATGTTACAGCTTCAAAGACTTTTAATAAATTGTTCCTATCTTTCATATTTCCTCGTCACTAAATACGTTCTTACATATGTCATCAGTGAACTTTGGCAGCCATATCTTCTATCCCTTCATTTAAGTTATTTATACACAGGTCTCGGTAATCATTCTATTGCACAGCACTCAATGCACTGCCACAGAAGGCAATGGAGGCCAGGTCAATGAATATATTTAAGAACAGAATAGATAGGTTCTCGATTTTTAAGAGTATCAAGGGTTACGGGGAGAAAGCGGGAGAATTGGGTCGAGAAATTTATCAGCTATGATTGAATGGCAGAGCAGACTTGATGGGAGAATGGCCTAATTTCTGCTCCGATGTCTGATGGTCTTATCTTCCAATCATCGAATCACACAGTACAGAGGAGGCCCTTCAGCCCATCGAATCTGCACCACCAAAAATATACTACTAACATGAAATTTGTTGTTAACTTTCAACTGATAGCTGCTTTCTTTCCCAAGCCCCTCAATATCAGACCCAGCACCCCGCCAACTTTCTTTGCTCCAATAAAAACAATCTGATCTTATTCAGTGTCTCTTCATTGCTAAAAAGCTCCATCCCAGTGAATCTCCTCCGCACTCCCTGCAGTGCAATTACATTCTTCCAGAAAAATGGGGACATCAACTTCTTCATTCGTTAATGGGATAAGGACATCGCTGACTAGGCAGCATTTATTTTCTATCCCTAATTACGCAGTGGGCTGTTTAAGAATCAATCACACTACTGTGGGTCTGGAGTCACATGGAGGCCAGACCAGGTAAGATAAGAGCTTCCATAAGTAAAGAGCATTAGTGAACAACAGGGGTTTTTCCCGACAATCAGCGTGGGATTTATGGTCATCGTTAGATTCTTAATTTCAGGAATTTTTATTGAATTCAAATTACACCATCTGCCGTGGCAGGATTCGAACCCAGGTTCCCCAGAATGCTATCCAGGGGTCTACATTAACAGGCCAGTAACAATGCCACTAGGCCAGTGTGGCATGTAGGCATCTCTGGCTGGGCCAGCATTTCTTGCCCATCCCTAGTTGCCCTCAGAAGGTGGTGCTGAGCTGTCTTCTTAACCGCAGTTGTCCACCTGATAGTTCTTAACTCCACTTTCCTGCCTTAACTTGTTGCTCTTACTTATTTTTGTATTCAGTTGTGGGACATGGGCACCGCTGGCTAGCTAGGCCATCAAGAGCTTGCTGGTTATGACACTGGACCATTAGAGTGATAACTTTCTGGTCACCAAGTTACAGGAATATTGTGATCCCATTAACAAGGCCACAACATGCTTCGTGAGGGCAAACAGTTTGACCTAGGATGGAAACCGAGTAGTTTTATCTCTAAACTATTAATCCAATGTTCCAGGTGATGTTCTTGGGGACCCGGGTTTGAATCTGGCTGTTGCAGATGGTGGAATTTGAATTCAATAAAAATCTGGAATTAAGAGTCTAATGGTGACCATGAGCCCATTGTCGATTGTCGGAAAAACCCATCTGGTATATGAATGTCCTTTCGGGAAATAAATCTGCCATCCTCACATGGCCTGGCCTACATGTGACTCCAGACTGACAGCAATGTGGTTGACTCTTAACTGCCTTTTGGGCACTTGGGGATGGAAAATAAATGCTTGCCGCAGCCAAGGAAGCCAACATGGCGTGAATGAGAGAAAAAAATTGACAAGAGTCCATTGTTTTCGTGTTTTGGGGAAATATTTTAAGAGGTATGTCAGTGGGTCAGTCGTGTTCGTAAGGGACTGAAGGATCAGAACAAGGGCAAGAATCAAAATGACCCTGAAATGGAGATCAGAGGAAGTCCATGATTATACTTTTCTCCATATCAGGAAGCTTTATACTTCAGTGGCTAGTGTTTGTTCTATTCTTCAAACACTATTAAATTGCAGGAACAAATCCCAACTATTATGGTGGCTCTGTACATATCTTTTTGCATGTTGCACTTACGCTGACCGGAGTAAATTGCTGCACAGACACATTCATTTATACAGTGACTCAAACCAAGTTCAGAGACCAGTGCCAAAGTATGTTGAAATATCCAGTCACATTGTTGACACTCCTAGTTGACAAAGTATGGGCGGCATGGTGGCTCACAGTGCTAGAGACTCGGGTTCGATTTCACTTTTAGTTTGTTTGTGTGGCGTTTGCACATTCTCTCTGTGTCTGCTTGGGTTTCCTCCAAATGTGCCAGTTTCCTCCCACAGTCCAAAGATGTACTGGTAGGTCTGTCGGCCATGCTAAATTACCCACAGTGCCCACAGGGATGTTTCGTCTAGGTGGGTTGGACGTGGGGAAATGCAGGTGTAGAGGAATGGGTCTGGGTGGGATGCCCTTCAGAGGGGTAGTGTGGATTATTTCAGCTGAATGGCCTGTTTCCACACTGCCCCACAAGAAGTAAGAAATGGAAGTAAAGGACTGATGGAGCGATGTAGGTATCAGCTGGTCTAATGGTGACCATGTAGCCATTGTCATAAATTCCATTCGGTTCACTAATGTTATTTAGGGAACGAGATCGGCCCTCTTTAATTGATCACGCCACTCATGGCTTCGGTCTGGCATCAATATGCTTGACTCTTATCTGTTCAATGAAAAAGCTACATCAAACAGTACAGATACACTGTGAAGATAAATCTCCACTTTTCCAGATACTCTCTGTAGCTCCCCACTGTCATTTATTTATCAGTCCTCACTACGTTTAGTTTTGCAGAATTAAAAAGGGAGGAAGGAATTGATTCATTCAACACAATGAGTTTGAATTTTTCAAGAGAATTTCAAGTCAGACTATCTCCATTCGGTGGAAGGGTCCCAGGAACATTAATGCTGAGTTCTCACTACAGTTGCTGCC